CCCAACACTGCCAAGGCCACCAGTAAAAGTCCCCAAGTGCCACATGTGCATGTCTCTTAAATCCCTTCAGGCATGGTGATTCCCCCACTGCCCTGGGCAGCCTGTTCCAATGCTTGACAACTCTTTCCATGACGAAATTTTTCCTACTATCCAAGCTAAACCTCCCCTGGTGCAACTTGAGGCTGTTTCCTCCTGTCCTGTTGCTTTGTTACTTGGGAGCAGAGGCTGATCCCCAGCTGGGTACACCTTCCTGTCAGGGAGTTGTAGAGAGCAGTCAGGTCTTCCCTGAGCCTCCTTTGCTCTAAGCTGAACAACCCCTTGTGCTCCAGCCCCTTCCCCATACTCGCTGCCCTTCCCTGGACACACTCCAGCACCTCAATGTCCTTCTTGTCATGAAGAGCCCAAAACTGACCACAGGAATGGAGGTGCCTCAGCAGTGCCTAGCACAGGGGCTAGTCACTGCCCTGGTCCTGCTGGTCACACTAGTGCTGGCACAAGCCAGGATGCCATTGGACTTCTTGGCCACCTGGGCTCATGTTGCCCAACACTCCCAGGTCCTTTCCCACCAGGCAGCTTTCCAACCACTCTGCCCCAGCCTGGAGCACTCGGGGGGTTATTGTGACCCAGGGGCAGGACCTGACACTTGACCTTGTTGGACTTCATACAGCTGGCCTCAGCCCATGGATCCAGCCTGTCCAGATCCCTTTGTGGAGCATTCCTGTCCTCCAGCTGATCAACACTCCAGCCCAACTTGCTGTCATCTACAAACTGACTGAGGGTGCACATGATCCCCTCATCAAGGTTATTGATAACGATATTAAATAGAACTGCCCCCATTACTGAGCCCTGGGGAAACACCACTAGTACCAGCCACCAGCTGGATGTAGCTCCATTCCCCACAACTCTTTGGGTCCAACCATCCAGCCAGTTTTTAACCCAGTTAATAGTGCACCCATCCAAGCTACGACCAGCCAGTTTCTCCAGGACAACACTGTGGGAAGCACTGTCAAGGTCTTTACTGAAGTCCAGTTAGGAAACATCCAAAGCCTTTCTCTCATCCGCTAGCAGGTCACCGCATCATAGAAGGAGATCAGGTTAGTCAAGCAGGACCTGCCTTTCCTAAACCCATGCTGACTGGGCCTGATCCCCCAGTTGTCACGCACATGCTGTGTGGTGGCACTCAAAATTATCTGCTCTGTGACCTTCCCCAGCACTGAGGTCAGGCTGACAGGCCTGTAGCTCCCCAGATCATCCTTCCAACCCTTTTCATAGATTGGCATCACATGTGCAAATCTCCAGCGAGCTGGGACCTCTCCAGTTAGCCAGGATGCTCATAAATGATGCAAAGTGGCTCCATGAGCACTCCTGCCAGCTCTGTCTCCTCAATGCAGCAATCCAACTTGTCATCTTTAAAGCTTCACTTAAGTCATATCTGTTGAAACATTTTTGTTTTCCAAACATGTGCAAAGTAGTCAGAAGGAGAAAGCAAACTGCTTTTCTTTGTCAGGGAAGTTCCATTTCAGTGAAATAACTCATATGGAGCTCCAGCTGCTCTGAAGAGGTTGGGAAGAGCTGCATAGGAGAATGCCTGAAACCACGGATAGTGCCCGTGCTGCTTTGCTGTGGAGAGCTGTCCTTGTGCAGGAGGCTGCCTGTTGTGAAAGCGAATTGCTTCCCTGCTTCAAAGGCTAGCTGGTAGGGAATGGCCTATGAGCAAAATGAGATCAAGCATTACAGTCAGTCAAGGATCACATTGGTATCTGGAAAAAGTACAAAAGGCAAACTGAAAATAAAGACGAAACTCTTAGCATTAACCAGAGCCTTGGGCAGACCTCCTTCCAGTGCCCTTGTTGTTGATGAAGAGGTTAAGTGATCCATTGAAAGCCTCATTATTAAAATGTCAATGTGAGGTTAGAATCAACATGGAAGGATTATTAAATAGTTCACAAGGTAAGGGTGAGAAAGGCAAAAGAAGTCACAGAACCTAAAAAGGTGAAAGCAGTGATAATTCCTGCTTGCCTGTTAAGTTTGCCATACTTGTATGCAAAGTACCTGCAAATAAACCTGCAGTTAGGAACCTGTGATGAACAAAATAGCACAGTCTCACAGCTGGCAGAACAGAGAAACATATTTTAGTGTTGAAGAGAGAACATGAAGCAGTTCAGTGTCAAATTATTTCTGTAACAGATGCTTTAGAGAGAATGATTCGTTTGCTTTTAAGTGGTGGCTACACAGTTTCACTGTCACTAGCCAAACTCTGGATAATTTATCATTTTAAGTTGAAAGCCAGCTGTATCATGGAGGGAAAGGGATAATTTCCTGTCACCTTCCTTTTTGGAAAAAGCAGTGTGTGCACACTGAAAATATTTCCAGCTTGGGTTAAGTATGTTTGAAAATACCTTTCGGGTAGAGTCATATTATGATGGCCAAAGAAAAAGGACTTGCTTTCAGTTTGACATGTTTACAGAAGCATTTTAAGAAGTCCAAGGGCCTTTTTTTACTCCTTGCCTTAAAAAAGTACACACTGTTCAAGCAGGAGAGTTTGGCCAGTGTTGCCCTGATCTGGCACTGCAGTCTGGTGGAGAAGGTCCTTTCAGAAATCACTCTGTACTTGCTGAAGGGACTGCTGAGAGACAACAGCAGAGCCTTGTTCTTATGTTCCTGTACATGTGAATGAAGGTAAAATAAGGAATAGAGAGTGTGGTGGGAATGTGGAATTTTTCTCCTTTGGAGTCTGGAGGTACCTTTCCTAAAATGAAAGTAGGGGAAGTGCTGCAAATGCTTATGTTTGTGCATGTTGGGGTGTTTACTGCATCTTTTGAGGGATTAGAAAAACTACATTTCATTTTTCTATCAATGCTCTGTGTACACTGCATGAGGCAGACAGTAAATCCTGGTGTGAAATGTGAAAAGGTTGAGGACTGAAAGTGCATATCCTACTGCAATGTGAGAGTGCTCTACTGTAAATACAAACCAAGTACAAATTACTGTTAGTCATCAGTCCTTCAAAGTACAGCTAGGACTTGGTTTTAAAATATTTCCTATTGTGTACAACTCTTTTAATATCAAAGGGTCTTTTCCTTTCCTTCATACCTCAGCAATGACAGCATTCATGTGAAAACAAAGTGGTTTATTTGCCAGATAGTTCCTATTCTGTTTTCCTCTCCTGAAACCATGTTGCTTTCATTAGCTAGAAACACAGCCCCTTGAGATGCTTCACCACAAGGCATGCCAAAAGTATCTCATGGGAGCAATCTTTCACTAACAGAGAAATAAATGAGATTTGTCCTGTAGGTACTTTTCCCCAACTTTAGTTTCAAGAAATATAGTAGCTCTCAAGATCCATTAAATCCCAAATCTCCACTGAGTAATCTCCATGACAGTAATCCTTTTATGTCAAACTGTAATATGACAGTAAGAAAATATTGCCTTAATTTGTTAAAGCAAGGAAAGACACAAATAAGCATCTGTCATTTTGAACAGAACAGCTAGGAAATGAGCAGTCGTATAAGAAATCAGAAGTTTTCATTCATTTTACACAGTAGTTGCTGAGTGACTTACTCGGGATGTTATTAGTAATTACTGCATGAAGCTAAATCATGCTTGAAACCTCCATTCTCCTGCATGACTCATGCTCTAAAGATGACCTCTGCAAGAGAAATTGAGACTTACTTAGACTAGAGCAAAACCAATGGTGTTGAGCATGAAAGCCACATTACCTGTAGTCCCTGCGTCTGAATTTCAGCCGAACAAGCTGGATGATGATCGGGACTAAGCAAAACTCTGCTGTTTGTTTCTGAGAATGTTGGCTACAATACTCACTTGAGGGTTTTCCTGTCTTCTCGTCCTGTGCAGTGTGGAGGGTGAAGCTCCAAGCAGTGAGACTGGCACGTCCCTGGACAGCCCATCTGCTTACCACCAAGGCCCTATAACACACAGCTCAGCCATCAGCCCGGACCATTACGAGCACTCTGCGTACGGGCTCTACTCCATCTCCCCGGGGCAGCAGAGGTCTCGGAGGCCCAAACTCCAGCACTCAACATCCATCCTGCGAAAACAGGCGGAGGAAGAGGCTATTAAAAGGTCAAGATCACTTTCTGAGAGCTATGAACTCTCTTCGGACCTACAAGATAAGCAGGTATTTGAGCTTTGTTACCTTATTTAAGACAGTGGCAACATGTCTGTAAACTGGGCAAAGTCTTTTCTGCAGTTGTGATGCTGAAAATACCTTTGGTTTCTGTGACCATCTTAGTTCAAAATAGCCATATGTCAGCACTTCTGAGACTTTTGACTCTTTTATTGTGTGTTGTGTCATCCCTGTGTCCCACATACCTTCCCCCCTTCCTGAAGAAAAGTGTAAAAGATGTATTAATAGTGTTAAAAGTAAAACCAGTTCTACTAGGAATTGTGATTTTATGCTCAGGACAAGTGCTAGGATGTAATAATGCAAAATAGCTTTCTAAGAAAATGAGTAATTTTGTTACCTGGATATTTTTGTTGTTGCTGAAAGAAAGGAAGAATTTATTGCAACAGATACTCTCTTGTATCTGTGGGGTGAATTCAAGATCTTAATTGGCTTTACTCAACTAGGCAAAACTCCCTTATGCTTTACAGAGAACTGGGTGGATGCTATGCAGATGCCTTAAAAGCCTTTGTCCTTAAAAAGGCACTGCTGTAAGACTGTCAGCCTCAGCCTTTCCTTTTAGGCTTTGTTTTGAATGTAATCCTCTTTGAAAGATGTTTATTGCCATAAAAGTTCATATTTATTGTTTGAAAATGGTGCTGTAAGAGCATAAGGTAAGAAAATACGCAGGATGCACTGGATTTCACTGGTAGATGAACAGCAGCCAATGCATCAGTCTTTTTTGGTTTGGAAGGGGTTTTTTTGGTGAGCGATCTTGTCACAGAATATTCTGTTTACTGTACATCATGGTGGTGTATTGCATGGTCACTGCAGCTTGTATGTTAACATGGCAAAAGCAGCAAAGTTCCACAGACAGGAAGCAAACTACTCCTGAGCTGGGACCAAACACTGATAGTCAGTGAAATTTCTAGGGACCAAGTCACATTTTCAGATTGGGGGATCCAGATGGACCTGGAAGAACAGGTCTTGATCTCTGACCCAAAGTTGAAGCCAGTATTTGGGATAGCCAGTATGAGTTTAGTTCAGCCTCTGTGCTCACCAGGTTTGCTGTTGGAGTGGGGACAGAGTGAGTTCCCAGTGCCAGCTCTGCTATTAAACTGAACCTCCTTGTGAGATCTAAACTGTTCCTTCCTCTTCCACCTTTGGCAGTGGTTTTTGCTGGATGCCTCATAAGGGATTGATAGAGAGTGTAAGGCTTACTAGAGACCTCCTGCACTGCAGATATTCCACAGAGCCTAATTCCATCTGTCCTTTCCTGCGAGTTTGATAGAGAATGAGGACTGCAGATGTTATTTTGTATTTGTTCAGGGAGTCTTGCACAATAAAAAGTGACAGTGATACATGAAGGAAGCTTGATACAGAAGGGTTGCTTGCTGCTCTTGGAAAGCTCTCACTGAAATAGCTGAAGATACTTAAAAACTACTTAGGAAGATGTCCAAGGCTTTACCTACAGGCAATATCCATGGAAAAGGTGCATGAAATAGGCATTAAACTCTATTAGAAATATTAATGATAAGTCTAACTCATCTAGGCAATCTGGAAAATACTCTCAATTTAAATTCCCACTAAAACCCCCTAATTCATGATATTCAATGATAATGTTATTTTTCTGTGTAAACCTGAAGGACAACAGCCCATTTGCAGGAGTAAAGCCCAGGTAATTTATTGTATAGAAAATTAGGTTTTGTTTTATTCTTTCGCACCAGCTGTGCTAGTTTACTTTTCATTACATTTGACATTTAATTTTGTGAGGAGAATTAAACTGACAATTTGTTTGTTTTGAAATTAGTCCAGAAAAAAAATCTCTTAGGATTTATTTAAATTCACATGAGATATAGATATGTGTATGTGTATATAAAACATGCATGTATACTACAAACAGAAATAGTAGCAAATATGTGGCAAAGTTGTGATAGAAGTTCTTAATAACTCTTTGAATCTTCAGAATGCCTTACAAGTAACCTCATAGTCTCCTTGACATGTACAAGTGTGGGGGTAATATAGCCCCATATGGGGGTGAAAGGCTAAACAGTTGTGTTGAAGAGAAACTGTAGAAAATTATGCAGAGATTTACAGATTTCCAGCTCAGAGATCAGCAGCAGCTTTTTGAGCTTTGTTAAAAGAAGTGTAAAGATACAGTCAAAAGAACAATTCCTTAGCAGTAATCCTGCTCTGAGCCCATCATGTCTAATGAAAAAGGGTATCTGGATTTGCAGGCAAGATGAAATTACTTTTGAATCATTGCAGTATTATGAAAATTGCATGGACTTACACAAAAATGCTGCCAGAAAAATGGGGAGTATAGTTGTAGTACTAAACATTGATTTGTCATAGATGTTTTGTGTTTGTGAATTATATGGATCTGGCAAAGACCAATTAGAACAGAAATTAAATATTGTGGACAAAATAAATAAACTTAGCTATTAATTTTGTTCACTGTATTTTAACTAAGTGAGGGGGTGGTGAGGCACTGTAAAGCTGTGGCTGCTCCATCCCTGGAAGTGTTTCAGGCCAGGTTGGATGGGGCTTGGAGCAACCTGGGCCAGTGGAAGGTGTTCTTGCCCATGGCACAGGGTGGGAAAGGATAAGCTTTAAGGTCCTTCCAACCCAAACCATTCTGTGATTCTGTGATGCTTTTCATGGTTTGGAAGAAAAGATTTGAAAATACCTAATGAGTATTCCAAAAGTATTTTCACTAGGTTAAATTGACAGCATTTATAATGTATTTATTTTGCATATTCATTCTGTTAATTGGCAATTTTGAGTGCAATTACAAGGATGAAAATAGATTTGAATTTGTATTTAGAAACTCTGAAATATGTTCTTGGTTTGAGGAAAAATGTGCATGTGGATATTTGATCAGAGATGGTTCTCTGGAAGAATATGTTCCAGCAGGCTGTTTTGCTTTGATACCAGCCCTGGGTGAAACTGCTACCTGGGTTTAATTCATGGAGAAAGCAATGTGTGCCTGGAAAGGTGGTGGCCCCTTTGAGAGTTTACTCCCAAAATGTGGCAATTTGCACCATACTTAGATTTCACTTCTCTGCAGTTGTCCCTGCAGAGACATTGACAGCATTACGCTGCGTTACTGCTGTCTTGTCTACTTCGACATGAGCACACCAATGCTCGTGTGGAAATCAAAATGCAAACACACACACAAATTGCCAATACCTGAGTTTTATATGTCAGTATTCACACAGCCATATTTTGTATTTTATGGTGGGATTTGCAAGTGACTCTTCAGTTCACTGTTTGTGCAGTTGTTAGTCTGGAGTTTGGAGTTTTTACTTTCAAACCCAGTGTATAGTCTTTGAAAAATGTCTGAAAATTAAGGTTGTTATAAGAATATTTTTTTTGTTGTACTCTAACCTTGTTCTAATCTGCATCAAGTGACAAGTGCTCCTGCTCTCCCTGCCACAGGTGGAGATGCTAGAACGGAAGTATGGAGGCCGTCTCATAACCAGACATGCTGCTCGCACTATACAAACAGCTTTTCGCCAGTATCAGATGAACAAGAATTTTGAACGTCTCAGAAGTTCTATGTCTGAAAATCGTATGTCAAGGCGCATTGTACTGTCCAATATGAGAATGCAGTTTTCCTTTGAAGGACCTGAGAAAGTCCACAGCTCTTACTTTGAAGGAAAACAAGTTTCTGTTACAAATGATGGGTCAAAGCTGGGATCCCTGGTACCATCTGAATGTGATGACATTGCAGACACAGCTACAATGAAGTCTCCAGCAGCATCTACTGACTTTACTGATGCCATTACAGAACTGGAGGATGCTTTTTCCAGGCAAGTGAAATCGCTTGCGGAATCCATTGACGATGCACTGAACTGCCGTAGTCTCCATTCTGATGAAATCCAGGCTGCAGAGCAGGTCAGAAGTCGTGAAATGGAAAGGGATAGTTGTGCTCCAACTAAACCAGCACTTCACAACGTGGATCACAGGAAGCTTGATGAGATGACGGCGTCCTACAGTGATGTTACGTTATATATTGATGAGGAAGAGTTGTCTCCACCTCTTCCACTCTCCCAGTCAGTGGACAGACCGTCCAGCACAGAATCGGATTTGAGGCTCCGGTCTGTGAACTCTTCTCAAGAGTATTGGTCCATGACTCACAAAGATGATAAGATAGACACTGACACGAGCTGCAGGAGTACCCCCTCACTGGAATGTCAGGAGCAGAGAATGAGAATGGATCATCTACCATTGCTAACTATAGAGCCACCCAGTGACAGTTCAGTGGACTTAAGTGATCGCTCCGAGAGAGGCTCATTAAAGAGACAAAATGCATATGACCGAGGGATCACGAGTCAACAAGGAAGCCCAAAACATATCCCTCACAGTATTCCTGCCAAGATCATAACCCGAGAGGAGCAGGAGGCGAGACATAGGGCTAGGCCTATAGACAGTCATTTAGCTATCAATGGCACAGCAAACAGGCAAAGCAAATCAGAGTCTGATTATTCTGATGGAGACAATGACAGCATCAACAGCACTTCCAACTCGAATGATACAATAAATTGCAGCTCAGAATCTTCTTCTAGAGACAGCCTAAGGGAGCAAACCTTGAGCAAACAAACATACCACAAAGAAACTCGCAACAGCTGGGATTCCCCTGCCTTCAGTAACGATGTTATCAGGAAACGCCATTATAGGATTGGACTAAATCTTTTTAACAAGTAAGTACAGCATTTCTTCCTCTTCTCTCTGTGTCACTGAGAGAATGGACCAGGAATATTTTTCTTGTATCAGATAAGGTAAGACTGGTGTCTAATACTGACCTTTCAGTGCATGAACAAGCTGCTTGTGGTGACTGTTCATGTGAGAGTACTTAAACATTGATGTCTTCATAGTTAAACAGCTTAAGGGGAAAAGAAAAATTATAATTATGTGTATATAAATGGTAGCAAACTATTGAGGATTAATCAGATTCCTTTCTTGTGGAAAAATATGGTGGCTTGATCCTGATCCATTTTTTGGTGTTACAACAAATTCAGATTTCTTCCTGCCTTAATCATGTAGGTGGTGTAAAACTTGCTGAGTGGGAACTAGAAATAACAAGCAGTGTAAGATGAGTTTCCTGTTTAACACTTGTAGGGGCTAGAATTTCTTCAGTAGATTTCATTAAAACTTTGATACTAACAGCTGATGCACTGAATATTTTTATGCTAAATAAATATTTGTTATTTATCATAAAAGTATCAAGAAATTTGTATTTCCACCTGTGACTGATAGTTTTGCAGTGTATGGAGGTGTTTAAAATTTCTATAAAACAACTTTCTCAAATTTCTTTGTTTTATTGAAATACCTTCTTTGGACACTTCCATGTGGCTACTGAAAACCATGAATATTATGAGAGAGAGTAGCAAATAACACACTACTCTAAACCCTGTACTTCCATTATTGGAGTTACACATTTCTCATTAGAACTACCAACTGGAAGTAGGCAAGTCATAGGATCTCAGCAGCTTTTACTGCTCATGAAGTGGACTGGGTAGGAAGATAAATCAAGCTGCTTTTTTGAGAAGATTTGACAACAGTAACATCCTTGGCAGGGCAAGTGGGGAGGAAGGTGCTGGTGCTGTTGGCTGACATTTAAAAGACTTGGTGCTTGCTCTGTTTTTTGCTCAGCAATTAAGCTTTAAGCAGTCAATGATCAGTGGGCTTCAGGCTTGATAACAGCATTCTGAGTCAATTGCAGAAGGCTGTAAGGAAAAAGGTGGGTGAACAAAGTGCTCGAGCTGGGCTGAATGAGAGCATTGGAGATTGTTAGATGCTTCTGGTGACACATCAGTAGGAGGCTGAAAGTGAAAAATAAACATCAGGAACAGAGAAGAATAGAAACTGTTATTTGAAACACATCTAAGTGATCCTTCTGCATGGACTTTGAACAGAGATGAGCCTTGTTTATATATTGGCTAGTTGTAAGACAATGTGCAGCTCCTTGACAGTGAGTGCTAAAAAACAGGACTGTACAGAACTCTAGGCAGCACCTCTGTGTGTAATCTTTTGTTGTGTGTGATTGTTCCATTCCCCTACTGCATTTTATCTCCAGTATTGATACCGAAGGTTCTCATTACCTTCCACTGAATCACTCTAATTCTATTGATAGCTCAGACAATCCCTGAGAATCCAATGTATCTTGTATTTGATTGTGGTTCTTCAAGTCTGCAGGTGACAATTTCATTAATGTGCAATGTCAGGTATTGACCCATCATAGCTGGGAAAGTTCCAAAGCTTTATTCCTTTAAAAGTTCAAAAGCAGTCTCTCAAGAGAGTATCAGGTGGGAAAAGCAAATTGCATCTCGTGAAGTCAATGGACAGATATTGTGTTCAGGCATTTGCAAGTGATGAGTTCTTCAAGATGAAGAATCCTTTTTCCTTTTCAATATGTGCTCTACAGGTGCTTTAGTTTCAGTTAACCTTCTGAGCATTATGCTCATTGTTCTTGGCACATGAGGTGTGTCCTAGCATCCTGTGTGGTCAAATGGTTTTTGAAAAGAAAACCACATCCTAGGTGTCAGTTTCCTTGGCAAAGGCTGCTGTTTCACATGCAGAACAGTGTCCACGAGGGTTGCCCAGCCTGGGTAGATATTGGCCAGGGAGGGGGTCTGCAGGTCAGATGGACTTTCTGCACATCAGTCTCATCTGTGCAGTTTCTCTCTCATGACACAGAAGAGTGCACCTGCCCAGGGACTGCCTGTGTGTCAGTCCTGTGCTGCAGCTGTTTGTGCACCCACAGGCACATCCGTGATGGGCTGGGATACAGGTTTTTAGTCTGCTCCCCAGTGTTCAGGTCAGTGCAGCAGAGCCATTTAAGTGTCTTCTGACCACATGATCTTCATGACACATTTATGATCCTAAAATGAGGGAGCAGAGCAAGCCTTGGCAGCGAGCCCCCAAGAGGATGTGTGCTCCACCCAAGCGGAAGGACTGTGCAGGACTGGAAGAAGTGGCTTTGAACTCACCTCCTACAAGAAGACAAGTTTTTATCCAAGTGTCTACAGCTACCAGAGGAAATTTTAGGGATGCCTTTTAGAAAGAGCTCATGCTAATTTCATTGCACCTTTGAAACCTTACTCGCAAATTAAAATCCCAAACCTTAATTAACAAATAATTATGTCATTTCTTTCTGGTACTTGGGTGAAATACAGAGAATTAAGAGCCTTAAAGAAGTACATGAATTGTAGTAAATACTTCTGCTTTGTTCACTAGGAGTGCTGAAAGAATGAAGTTTTTAAAAGCATGGAAAGTCACTATCGACACAGTTGAATTTGAATGTATAATTTTTTTGGCTTTTCTATTACAATAACAATTTTCCAAAGCCAAAGAGCAGTTTTCTTACCAGAGGCCCTTTGTTAGGATAGCCAGTTATGGGTGGAGTCCAAGTTGAGCACGACTGGTCTAGTTCACTTAATAACTATTTTGTGCAAAAGATTAGTAACCTAATGGAGAACACAGGACATTAGACAAAAAAAAAGGTAATTAAAAATCATTTTTCTGAGCGTTTTTGCAGGTCTAGTGGAAGGTGTCCCTGCCCATGGCAGGGGGTTTGGAAGTAGATGATCTTCAGGGTCCATTCCAACCCAAACCAGTCTGTGGTTCTATGATTATCACTTGATCACAGAATTTGTTTCAGATTATAACTTGGATTCATTTTGGAACCCTAGTGTTGATTAAAGAAGTGTACTTTTTTAAATAGGTTTTGTAGTGGCCACTGTGCTGGAACACAGAGTATCCCCCAAATGGAATGATTTCTGCCAAAGAAATTGCAGTGAAGTCACAGCTTCTGTACATTCCCTGGATTTGAATGGCAGTAGTGATTTCCCCGTGTCAATGGGCTGTCCGAGTGTGTGTTTCCATTCATTGCCTTCCCAAAGGAAGGATTGCAGGTGCATGCCCAGAGTGCAGGGGCTCCCAGGAAGGCTTGCTGAAGCCAGCTGTGTTGAATTAGGCATTTTCTTCAGTGTAGTTTGAAAGGGATGTAGTCTGGGAGAAAATACACTAGAAACCATTCCTCCCTTATAGGCAGAAGGAAAACACTACCTAGAAAGGTTTATTTTGCAGGCTTCAAACCCTGCCAATGCAAATCCAGCCTTTGAGACTGGTTTGCTTATAAACAGAGCTTCAAGAGGCCTTTTGACTGCTGCTTTAAAAAGAAAAATAAGAAGGAAAAAAAAAAGAAGTAAAAAGGGCTGTGATTTGATTCCCCTGTTTGTTTTGGCTGCAGGCTGGCAGTACCAGGTTTGCCAGTTGCTGCACCCCAGCCTAGTAGGATTTTCAGGTTCCATTCTGCTGCTGCTGCACTGATGGCTCTAACAGATTAAACTGGGCTGAATGGTTTAACCTCAGTGGTCTGAAGAGAGGTGTCCTGCCCTCGGGTCAGCTGTGCAGCCAGCAGCAGCAGGCTGTAATTCTCTGCATAGCTGTGCGTGTGTATATTGCCATAGGGCCTTCTCTTGTGCCATCGTGAGGGTGGCAGCAAGTGGCTCTTCGCCCAGTGTCTGTGGCTGCCAGGTGTGTTTGTTGATAGCAGAGCCTGCAGTTAGTGCCTCCTCACCCGCAGCGACACACCCAGCCATGTGGGACAGGGAACACTGGGGACTGCTCAGCACAAACACTTCCTGCATGAATAAAGTGTTTTCAACAAAACTCAGATGACATTAGAGTGGTTTGAAAACGATGTGACTGCGCCTGGTACTGTAAAATATGGGATATAAAAGTTCATATTGCCCAGACTCATTTTTTAATCTAGCAGAGCCTAGAGTCATATTCAGTATCTCCTTTGGGATATCAGCTGTAACTTTGGAAGACACTGTAAATTGTCCTCTCATCTGTCAGTGTTCCTGTGGCATTGTGGTTTCTTGCCATGGGAGCCAGACCTGCTGGTGCTGGTGCCAGCTTCTGACATTGGTGGTGAAGAGTGTGAAGTGCAGCTCCTGGGCCATTTCCCCCACACTGTAGTGTTCTGTTGAGGGCTCTTTGTGTGTGCTGTTAGGCTGAAGGCTCTACATCCTAATCTTACCTGTCCATCTTGGAGCTACAGCAACATAACTACCCTTTGCAGTGCTAGCACAGAGGCTAGGCCAGCAATAATTTTACAGTAAGTTTTCCCAGATGCCTTTCCCTCTTTTGCTTTCTGGGAAGGGTAATGACAGATGGAAAACTCTTCCTCATGTGTCCTCAGTGCATTACAGTATTCTGTTCTGAAGAGTTGTCTGTAGCTTCCTTTATAACAGGCCACTATCAAGGTTTCTGCTATTCCAAAGGTCCCTCAAAGGATTTATTGACAGAGATAAAAAGGCATCAGTATTTGTTTGCAATATGCAATGATGTCTCCTCGTTTGCCCTGAAAGCCTTACTGGCTTCATTTATTGCACAACAGGGATGATTTTATGCAAAATTGCAAAACCACTGTTGATATGAATTGGATACTAATTCCAGGAACAGGCTTTTTAAAACATTTCTAGATTCCTTGGAATGTTAATTTAAGAAGTTATTTATTTTACCAAGCAGATATGAGAGGAATTTGCTGAGTGCTGGTGGGATTACACCAAATACAAAATTGCAAATTGAAGTTTCTAGAGAAATTCTTGTTGGAAATCTGAGACACACAATAATAATATTTGTGAGAAGGCACATTTTTCATTTTCCATGAAAGCAGCTCTACCTGTTCAAC